CGCTGACGCTGACTACTGAAATACCGTTCATCAGAAACTACATTTGTCACTGCAGACTCTGTTCTTTTGTCGAGTCTCGGATAGGTGTCTCCAAGGCATAGTCAAACTACGAGAAGTCGAATGATGCACAAATGCGAGATCTATTTGCGAAATAATCCCTGAATCCAGCAGTTAACCGATAATTCACAATATGATGGCTGTGCTTCAAGAGGAATAACATCTACATAACTAGCTATCTGCCATAATCGGATTTTGCGAAATATGCAAATGACATCTGAAATTTTCAGTACCCTGTACTCGATGAGTGTCAATCAAAATGAGCAGCATTAAAATGTTGTTTAACTATGCAATGACGGTTTGCATAAACTTTCTCAGAATGAAATTTTGTTCTTTTTTAAATTATCGTTATTGAATTAACAGTCAATTAAAATACATAATTCAATAAAATTTCAACAACACCAGTAATAAAGATGGAAATTATTTCAAGAGAACTAAGCATGGAAGCCAACCTAGTGGAACAAGCAACGAAATTAATGGATTGAAAGAAATATGCTTCTTCCCTGATTGATTACTACGTCAATATCCTTGTAACTTACCGCGTTTGTTGATTTTTTCTCAATCTATTCCATCATGGAATAAATATTCTTTGTGAACCCGGGAAAATTCTTTACTTTGTCTAACTCAAACCACGAACTCAACTGCAATACGGTTAGTCGTCCAAGCTAGAAGAAACAAGGCAACTTCGGCATATTCCATGTGTAGTCAGAACAGCGAGGTGCTTGATTGCTGCAGACTGTGTTCTATATAACGGTCACACACTCGTCAGTCAGTTTTAGTTCAACAACGATAAATTAAATAATAAAGTGTACTTGTCTCAGTAATTTATTTGTCAAATCAGATTTCGAGCCAATGATTTATCGTGCCGTAAACATTATCTGAAGAAACGCGATATACTATGTTTTACGGTTGCGGTTCACGTAGAAAGGCACAGACTTCCCCTTCGTAAATAAAACTAACTTTCAATAAAAGTGCTTCCTGAACTTGAATGAGCACAAATGATTATTTTTCATATATGTATCGTTTAAATGCACAAGAAAAACTTAGGATTATATTGTCATTCTTGACAACTACTTCAGGAAAAAGTTAGCGTTGCTGTGATCGAGATTTAATACGTTTTTGCAGCAGTGCAATCCGACAGCCAGTAAATATGAGGATTTTGCACAATCGACAATCATCACTGATTTTTAACACATTGCCGTTTCACAGACTGTGAAATCGGCTTTTTGAGAAGTCTTGAAATACTCCCAAAGAGCATTGGGAGTACAATCGCTGCTTCTCCAGATTGAGCAGGCATAATTGCGATGCTCTGAGCACGTCTTGCGAAGCCTCCGAAAAGGAAAACGAAGCAGCTGTTACTTGTCCAACCATTGGCTGAAAACCCTGAGAATGGCCAAAAACAGCCTGAAGCAAGTGTATGAAACTACTCTGCCCTAGTCTCGGGCTGCTTTTGCGGAAGATTAAACAGTGGTACAGATGGGGAAAGTTTTACGCATTGTCTTGTGCGTCTGCCTTAATGAACCGAAATGAAAAACCGCTATCGACACTGACTGACCATTTTTCAGGTTTGGTTCAAAATCATATTTTACAACGGGACTTCGCTTCTGGGAGCGATGGAGGAGCGATTTCCTTACCGCGTAAATCTAAATCTGTCGTAAGTCAACTTCGCTTCTTCCTCGCAGATGATCACTTTCGCAGTTGGTAATCATATTTTGACATTTGGGCTAAAAAATAGTAGCTAATATTTATTCAACCAAATTATAAAACACACAGCTTCACAATTTAAAAATAACTCTTAAGGTATAATGCATTTGCTACTTACCTGCCAGTGAGAGCTTACTTCGAGCCGCTCATTTTCAAATGCATGAATTTTAATCGAAGAAATGAGGAAACCTTTACCTCTCTTCAGAGTTTTAATTGACGGAATTAGAAAAATATGACGTCACGCGAGAATGCCGTTTGCCCAGCAGTTGTTAATCAGCGCAGCGCAGAAAATATTTTTGACATTCGCGTGAGTCAGGGGAGAATGCTGTTCATCTGAGGAAGAGCGCGAATTTTTAGCAGAAAGCATTGAGCATTTGCTCAACTGTTTAAAAGCAGCATATAAATGTTATATTTATTTACCATACGAATAACCCTTAGAATCGTTCTAGATTCTTTGCAAGGCACTAAAGGAACCTTCAGATCTTTCATTTGTGTTTCGACATAAGCATCCCTAGGCTGTTTAATCAAAGAAGAGAATATTCAAAACAGCGTCTGAAATCATGGGATGAATTGATTTCGCGTGCTTACCAGAGCTCAAAACGGATTGAGGAATGTGAAACGACTGCCGAATTAAAATCAAGACTTAAAATGACTCTGCTCCCGAGACGACCAACTTTCTTTAAGGACACTCAGGCATGGTGAAATTAGACTCCTTCATTTCTCATATCTCCTAAAAGAGCAAATGCACCCATAGAATTTTTTTCGCAAATAGCAACTTTACCTCACTGATCGTGATATCGTCAATTGAAAAAACTCTTAAGAAAACGAAATGTTTTTCATTGTGTAATCGAAATATGACAGTTCTTCCTATATATCAGCATGATTCCTAGATAAACAAATGATGCCCGGGTCTATGATTAAGGGTACTCAGTATATAATGAAACAGCATTTGCATTATAAAAATAGCGCTGAAAAGGTGCAAGTGTAACATGTCTGAAAAATCATTAACTTTCTGACAGTGTAAAGAGAAAAATTCCAAACAACGTGCACTGGCTGACAATATCTGATGATAAAGTTCTCACTGATTCGCCTGAGCATCTTTTTATGTAAGATTAATCGAGAATAAGTAACCTTTTATGTCTTTTCCGCATATTCATGGGCATAGAAGCATATCAGTCGAAAATGAATACCATTCTCCATGCAGATTTAAATTTTGATTAACTTTGTAGTAAACATATCCTTAAAAGGTTTGACGTCAGTCCGATTTCGTTTCAGTGTCAACATTGACATGTTTCAATGTAAAAATTGACTTTGACATTGCCGTTTTTCTAGCATTTTGGATAACTCTTCGAGTGAAAAATTTTCGAAATTCTACTTGGCAGTTGAGTTATTCTTTCGGAGATTATGATTACGGAATGTCGAAATATTGCCAATAAGCAACTTTTTTGAAATTTTCTACATTTTTACGATTAATTGTTACCCCACTCGTGCCTTACTTTGTTATATTTGAAGAAATATTTTGTCGCGTCTCTTTGAAACATTTCAAATTTTTAATTTTCTATAGCGAAACCTAGTTGCACACATTGGCATAATTTCTTATATCAATGTGGAATCTTTTGTTACTGTAGGCAGTTGTCCAGTATATGTAGGCTGTTCCGCTTTCGCTCCTAAGGCTTATAAATGGTGGAGAGTGAAAAGTCAAATTTAAAGGAATTAGACCAGTGGATCGAACAGCTGTATGACTGCAAACAGCTAGCAGAAACCGACGTGAAAAAGTTATGTGATAAGGTACGTAAATCAAATGTATATTTATGGTTTTGCTTGATCGTATTTTCGTTTATGTTAATCTATTATATATATCATTGGAAGACACTTGCTACATTAGAAGCAGGAGTGAATTTGACTGATTCAGATACTGAATAAAGTGATTTATAGGCTTTCTTTTTCTGTGTACCAGTTTCTCAAATTTGCGTGTTTAAACCTATTTTATGGATTGCATTTTCGTCCTTTCTGTGGTTCTTTTGCAGTTCCGTAATGTGGATGGGAATCGTGCTAGATTTGTCTTTGTTATATATCAAATAGTGATACGAGATTAGTTAATCCTTTTAGGTTTTCTTGGGTTTTTTTTGTCTGACGTTCTAAAAGTAGTATATATTGATGAGTCATGAATTTTTCGCTTAGGCTAAAGAAATTCTCACCAAAGAGTCGAACGTTCAAAATGTGAAATGTCCGGTGACTGTTTGCGGCGATGTACACGGACAGTTCCACGATCTTATGGAGCTTTTCAAGATGGGTGGAAAAGCTCCGGATACGAACTACCTATTTATGGGTGATTATGTAGATAGAGGCTACTACTCCGTTGAAACGGTTACACTGTTAGTGGCGCTGAAGGTATGTTCTTAGTTTTGCCTGTCGATTTTATGATCGATTCTTTGCACATAAGGTTCGTTACAAAGATCGCGTGACAATCTTGCGAGGAAATCATGAAAGTAGACAGATCACTCAGGTTTACGGATTTTATGACGAATGCTTGCGAAAATATGGCAATTCAAATGTTTGGAAATATTTCACTGATCTTTTCGACTATTTTCCCTTGACGGCTTTGGTTGATGGACAGGTAATATACTGTTTTTGTCTTTGTTGATAAAATAATGTCGTATTGGTATCTTCGACATTCGCCGCAAGTCCCTGACTGGTCACGAATATCTTGTTTCCGATGACGTTAGTATTAGGGATACTGCGAATGCCAAGAGTTTAGTTGTACTTTGGGTATAGGTATCGGTGGTGTCTTGTAATTCAGTCGTCTGTGTTCGTTCTCAGAATATTATCGTAGACACACGTTCTTGAAAATAGGTCCACTGTATCGATTCCCTGACTACTGTTTCATCGTTGACTTTCTGTTTAAAGGTTACTTCCAAATCGTCATAACTGTCGCAGCGGTATGTGAATATGCATTCCCCCGTGCTCCGCCATGGTATTCCACATAGTATGTGGTTATGACCAACTCTTCAGACATAGATCTCCCATTGTTGGATTTAGTGCATGTAATTCCAGTAGCAATATAAAGGCAGATTTCATGTTTATATTGCGTCATTTATGGTGCTGTTAAGGTGTAAATTTTCTAAGGACTTATAATCGATTTCTCCTATGCTGCATCCAGACATTCACCACAGAAGAGATAGTAATCAGAGTGAAGTGAAAGGATCTATAAAGAAGTGGTTGTAGGTTTTGACAGGTATGTATTTAAAGTAGGTTCGTGTACGAGCAAAGTACTCCAACTAAAAACCCATACAGAAAAATTTATGGTTCACAATCCGAAATAATCCCCAGCTATAGCATGGAAAATTTTCTTCACCATGTTGGTTATTGGCTTAGAGATGAAGACGATTAATAACGATATGAAAGTATAATCAGGGAAACTGGACGGATAACGACATTAAATGAGCTGAAAAGTAACACGGAAACTGTGGCGAAATGATATTATATCGACCTATTCCTATGAATTCCTCTGAATATTCTTCTGAATGAACATTTATCATTGTTAGCGCGAAAGTTGACGGTTTTGTATACTACTTTTTAATTTAGAAAAGGACGACTGTTTCACACTTAAGTGTCTGGAAACTAGTCGTTTCGAGTCATAATTGATAAATCCTCATATCTCTAAATGAGTTGTAAGACAGAATAAGTCATGCAATAATTTGTTTGACAGACAAAAGTTAAATTTATTCCATTGTTCTCCTAGCTGATTCGCTATTGATCTTTCATAGTTGAAATTAATGTATTGTTGATGTTAATTTGTTGTGATCGATTAAGACATCGAGTTTTTATTCATAAATTTGCTTAAATTGAGTTTAGTTATGAACTGAAAAGATAGATTCTGGAATTGAGGTAAAAAATTCTTGTCAAAGGCTATCATTTATTCCTCTCTTGTCAGCATTCTTTTCTATTCGGTCTACTTTGAGAGCAGCGATCTAGGGTAGTCTCACCTCCCTGCTGTGAACATGCAACCGCTCATGCCTCAATGAACGTCACTGGCTTCCGTGTAATAGAGCACTCTTGCTGACCATTCTGTTGTCACTAGTTAGCAGTGACTTCAAATTAAGGAGTAGTAAACTTGCACAGCCTCGTTTGTTGAGTGTTTCAGGGTTAATAGTTGATCTTCAGGGCTACCATGGTGATTGAAAGAGAACTAACTGTACGATGCTTTGCCCTCTCAGTCATTTCTTTACTTTCATGCTCCGCGCTTCCCATGTGAAGGACAAAAAAATGAATCTGACGTCACCGCTTTGTAGTTCGTTGTAAAACAGTTTTTACATCTTTACCCAGTGATATGATGAATTTCAGAGATTCAACGATTACTCGGGCTTTCAGTGTGGATTCTTCATAGTTCCCACACGCCGAGCGCAATCATGCCAGGCTGTTTTGTCC